TCCAGGTGTATTCAGCCCTGCCAAAAGTTCTTGACAATGCGCGTCTGCAAGATCAGTCTGATGAGCAGAAACACAAATATCTGAGCTTTGTAGCTATTTTCGCAGAAAAAGTTCACAGCAAACTTTCAATGGATGTCAGTAATAGAAAAACAAACCAACAAAAATTAATCAACAAATAAACAGATAAATCAAGATACAAAATAAATATCAGTGACTCCATAAATATAATGGTTGCAAACCTTACCCGAAGCCTTTTCAGCTTTCTGTAACTAACAAATATAGGTGTGCATGAAAATTAAAATAAACAAAATAATAAACAAAAATATAAACAGATATAAATCAATAAATAAACAGATAAATCAAGATACAAAATGAATATCAGTGACTCAATAATAGTGGTTGCAGACCTTTGCCTGAAGCCTTTTCAGCTTATGGGTGTGTATGAAAAGTAAAATAAACAAAAATATAAACAAAAATATAAACAAATATAAATCAACAAATAAACAGATAAATCAAGATGCAAAATGAAAATCAGTGACTTTTATAATTATTGCAAACCTTTTCCTGAAGCCTTTTCAGCTTCATCTGGGTTGACTTCAATTTTCTGTTTTCCTCAGCTACACAGTTCATAAGTTTTGCATTCTCCCGGAGTGCAGCATCTTTTTCCTGTTTTTTGATTTTATTATAAAGCCCAACGTTGAAACGGTTAAGCTTTGGCGGCATATTCACTCACTTGTGAAAGTGCAAATTATGGCACTTTACACGATAACTTGGGATGACCTTTCAAACAGCATTTGTAGTGAATTCTTTACTTCATCTTCGAAGGCGAATCTATTTTGGAAGTTGTTGTTTGTGTTTCACAGTGAACACGCCATTTTTGAGAAAAGCTAAACCACGTTTATTTGATTGACAGTTTATACAAACCGGAAACTATGGCGAACACCGAAAGTTCGCGTATCGTGAAACAGTTGTCGCCCTTAAATGTAGTACAAATCGCACGAATCATACCATCAAAATCAATTCCACTACGGGCCTTAGTGGAATATTTACCTGTAAAGTGAATGTCAGAGAAAATTCAGTTAGCAAAGTTTTTAACTGTGTAGTGTGCAATATATTCCAAACAGCTGCACGTTATCCATGACACAATTTCGCAACTATATTTAAGTCACTAAATGCGAGAACCATTTTTTTGATGCGATATAACTGAAATCTCCGCAAGAAATCCGGAAAACAAAAAACATACGATTGTAGAGGGTAGAATGAATAAGCGATCTAGGTTGTTTTCTAATTCATCTCTTTATACTTAAAAAATTGTATACAGCTCGAAATTCCTCTAAATTTCATCTCTGTACAGTGCTCTTGAAATAGCACGAAACAAGAGGTCCTAAATGAGGCAAAAATTAACGAAATACACGTCGAATTTGGTATCAAAATAAAGGAGAAACTCACCTCTCATCGAATTTTGAAACCACTTTTTCCTTCGTGGTATCCCAGAAACACTAGGGAGTGTTTTATTCCGTGGTTAATTTCGTTCTAGTCCCCGAGCGTCATTAACTCGATAAGGCCGCCATTTTTGGTCACAGACTCCGTACCAGATTACGCGCCAAATGGCCCGGCGTGTTTCATATTTTCCTCTGTGACACTTTGAGCAGGAAGAGAATATCATGGGCAAAGTTGCCAAAGGCAAAGAAAAAACCCACGATAAAAAGGTAAAGCTGGAAAAAATGCCGAAAAGCAAGACCAAGAATCTACAGACAGCTTAAAGAATACCCTTATTGCTGAAATTAGTTCGTCGGTAGGTTTATTTATGATTTCGAAATTACGATTCAAGGCGATTGCTCGTGCTTTTGTATCGGTTCCATCAGATTCCGACGAACAATCTAGTTTGCGATCTGCACTGCCTTTGATCTTCAAGCTGCTTGCTCCAATGATATTCGAACGTTGTGGATCTTTAGCAGATGCCGAGCTTGTCAGAGGCTCTTGGTCAAACCAAGAACTTTTGTCACTTTCTTTTCCTGGAGGAATGGTTCTGATACTTTCTTCTTTGGGCCCTTGTTTTTGTTTATCTTAGCTCAAGGACTTTTTTCTGCTTTTGATTTTTCCATGAACGCAACGTGAACGCACTGCACTTCTACGTGAGAATTTTGTCAAGTGCGCGATGTACACAAAATATGCAATTAATAAGAAATTACCGCGAGAATTACTCCCAGGGGACTCGCTCAGTTACGAGATTATGACGCCTTCCTGATTTATTAACTTTTATTTGAAAATACGTTTTTCTAAACAAGTGAGACGCTTTTTGAGATTTTTTAATTTTTCTTTTTGCAGATGTTAGGTAAAATGTCTGACTTCAATTTAGTCAAATAAAAAAATACAATTTTTTCGGCCTCTGGAGGTGGGAAGGAACCTTAAGGCCATGTTTGTTTATTCACCGCTGTGATTTTGTTAACTATACCCAGTTTTTGCTCGCCACAAACTTCAAAAATTGTCATCAAGTTTTGCTATCCAAATAGCGCAATACCGTTGGGTGCACCATACTTTAAAGAGAGAGAATGTCTAACAGTCCAAGGCATAATTTTCTCAGTTTATTGTGACACTTCATTCAAATCATTCCAACTCATTTTACCATGGCTTCTAAAAACAAAACAAAAAACTTTCCCTCGTAGAAAATCATTCAATGACACACTCCATAAGTCGTTAAATTTATCATAAAGGCCGTGCAAACAATTTGTTCAACCACTCTGCACAATGAAACAAATCAATAGGCACTTGGAATTCTTTGCAAAAACAATCAGTCTTACAGCACCGTGGAGTCCTTCTGAAACTTAACATTAAAGCTTATTGTAGCACGGAAGAAGTTTCGATTGAAACTTACCACATTCCTGCCTAACTCTTTTAATCTGGAGCCTTTGCTCGTAGTCATGACTCTTACTTGAGTAATTATTAACCACACCACAAAACCATCTTTGAATGCTCGTTGCTCGACTGATTGTACTTTGACACAAGCGTGGTTTATTCATCTTACAGGGAAAACATGTGCCTGCATTACTTTATGAAATATTTGTTACGTGATTGGTCGAGCACTCGTTAATGAGAAAGAATGAATGAGTTCACACTCGATGATTGAAACCATGCCTTAGATTGGAACTTTGTTTTTTTTTGTCATGTAAGTTCAATACCGAAAAGAAACTTCCCCCAGAAAACGATACTGAAGTTTGTTGTGACATTCCAACTCATTTCATCTTGGCTTCTTCTCTATGCTTAAAAGAAAAACAAAACAAGAAACCTTCCCTCGTAGAAACTTATTCAATGACACATTCCTCAAGTCGTTAAATTTATCGTAAAGGCCCCCCAAACAATTTGTTTAACCACTCTGTAGAATAAAACAAATCAACAGGCAATTGGAATTCTTAACAAACACAAACAGTTTCACACCACCGTAGAGTCATTTTTAAACTTAACATTAAAGCTTATCGTAGCATAGACGAAGTTTTGATTGAAACTTACCACCTTCCTGTCGAACTCTTTAATCTGGAGCCTTTCGCTCATGGTCATCATTGTCATTTGGGTAATTATTGACCACACAAAAACCGCCATTGAATGCTCATTGCTCGTCTGATCGCACTATGACACAAGCTTGGTTTATTAGTCTCACAGGGAAAACACAAGCCCGCATTACTTTATGAAATATTTGTAATATGGTTGGTCGAGCACCTGTCAATGAGAAAGAATGAGGGAGTTCACACTGGATGATTGAAACCATGCCTTAGATCGGAATTTTTATTTTTTGTCATGTAAGTTCAATACTGAAAAGAAACTTCTTTCAGAAAACGAAATCAAAGATCGGCTATAACAGCCAAGCAATTCAAGCATAAGGCTATGAGTAGCCTCAAAGAAATGTTAAAAAAAGCCGAGGGATTTAGTTCTCTTTCCAGCAAAAATTACAGCTCCAACTCAAGTGATCAAGGTGGAATTTTTCCCCAAAAAAGGGAATTGACAAATAGCTGGAACAGCCCAGCATTCTAACTTGAGCGAACGAGAAAGCTCCAACTCAAGTGACCAAGGAGACATTTTTTTAAAAAAACACTCGATGAAGAGCTGGAATAGCTCAGCATTATAAACTTGAGCAAACAAGACAGTTCAAACTCAAACGAGACAGAAATTTCTCTCAAAAAGTGCAGGCGACAAAGAGCTGAAATTGCTTATCTTTATAACTTGAGTGAACAAGACAGTTCAAACTCAAGCAAGAGAGAAGTATCTCCCAAAAAGAAAAGCCAGGGAAAGAAGAGAACACGTGTGGTTCGTCACTCCAGTAAGCATGCATCCTCACCTACTGGGGACCATGAACAAGAACAATTGGCTGTCAGACGAAGAGTGCAAAGAATGTCCAATGTTGCATAATTGAACGAACCAGAAAGAAGTGAGAATGTCGGGATTAAAGCCATTGAACGTCATGAAATAAATAAGATGACAACGCAACAACAGCAAAGCACTGAAAACTTAGATTGCGAAAACAACAAGGATTTTGTAAATCCATTTCTACCGAACATTTACAAACCGCCGATTAATGATACTTGTATGTCGATTTTATTTTAAATTAAGTGACTTATCTGAGACATCTCTTCGTTTTTTGCAAGTACCTTATTGTTACTCAATTTCGTGATTTTGGGGAGACGTTATTTTCGGGGTTTTATTTTAGCGATTTAAGTGTTCTCTACTTCACTATATTATAGAAACCACAGTGTTATTCAAGGATTCCTAGCCCTGAGAAAAGCTGTAATAACACACTGAAAAAATATAACAATTTTTCACGTGTTTGATATCGCAATCAGCTACTGAAACGTCACTTGCTTTTGGCGCCAGTCGGTCAGGATATTGAGTGAATGGCAAAGCCTTCACCATTCTTTATCCAAGGTTGTTTGTTGGAATTTTTTCACGTCATGGCTGTTAAAACACTTAGAAATCTGTATGGCTTATGGAAAGTGATCTTCAAACTTTCCTGGGGGCAGCAAAGCAAAATACAATTTTTTTTATAATTGCAAAAACTCGACACAGATAAATTCATAGGTAATTAAATACCCATAAGGTAGACACAAGGACGATTCAGATCTCATTATGCTGTGCGATTTGATCCAGTTGACATTCTGATTAGTTTGGTTGTGCACTTGGTATTTTTTTTAAGACCTGATTACATACACATGAGCCGCTGTGGCTTTCAGCTTTGTATCACAATTACCTAGTAAGCTCAGTGTAAAAACATAGAAGGCAACTGGTTACCCACCCCACCCCACCCCAACCCAAATCTCGCCTTAAGGCCTTGAGTTTGGATGGGGTAGGTGGTCAATTTTCCCAGCTATTGTTTTGATTATAATTTGCTCAAAATTATTGCCCTACTCTAAGGCTTTTTTTAGAAAGATTATCCAAGGTAATGGTTCATTTTGTAATTAACAGCTTAATCCTTTAACTCTCATGAGTGACCAAGACAGAATTTTTCCCAACAATATCAATACAACATCAAGAAGACAAGTGATGAGAATAAAGAAAGATATCAGTTAGGGGATTATAAGTTGATCCAATACCAAATTCTCCAAACTAAAATCACAAGAGCTGTGTAGGAGACAGTAAGGAGAAGTACCGATGAGAACTTGGGAATTAAAGGCTTAAATTATTTTTATCAGCTTTCAGACACTGAAAGCTGCCCAAACCCTCTCCTTCCAAACTTAAATTAACACTAGGTAACTGTATATATCTTCAGTTAAAAAAAGTCAACTGAAGGATTTATTTTGGTTGCACATTTGTGAGGGCCCTCTGAGGGCAGAGAAGAAGAGGTGAACACAGCATCTCAAGTAGAGGATGAGACTTCTACAAGTTCAGATGCAGACCAAGAACTCTCTAGCAACAAAATAGTTTCAGGCAGCAAGAACCATGAAGGCGATTCTAGTGAAGGTGATATTTCAGCAGGAGAGCAGCCTGTCTGCGAGGGCACAGCCATTAGGAGAAGGACATTCGAAGCAACTTTCTTGGCATCATCGAACAAGCACAAATTCTCAAAAGCTACCAGGAATGACATCCTTAAATTTCTGGAAACATTCATTCCAAAACAAAACTTGCCCTCATGTAATTACATGTTCGAGAAGCAGTTGATTGAGGCAATGGATATCCATTACTCACAGTGTGAATTGTTTGTCAATTGCAGCAATACCAGTAGGGAAGGAAAGTGTCCCAAGGGTAGCTGTGCACGTTATGACCAGAGGCTCAATGGTCATGAAATTGAAATGTGCTATTTCATCCCATCAAGGACCAACTTCAAAGAATTCTAAGAGGTAAGTGTATACTGAACATAAATCTAGAAGCAACATTCTGTTAGGAGATAAACTTTGTTTGTTTGTCTCACGATATAGTCACTTTTGAAGTTGATGCCAACATTGTGACCGCAATACTGCTAGTCCTCATCAGGCAATGAGGTCGATTATTTACGTGTCGCTATTTGTAGCACATTCTGTTAAATTCAAATTTTGTCCCAAAAATTTATTTCCCAAAAGTACCCTCTGTTAATGAGCCCTCAAAGAAGGTTAAGTAGACTCATTACAATATCTGGAACGAAGCTTTGTTCTGTTTTGAAATTTTAACAAGAGAAGTAATCAGCATAGAATTTGATAACTCTTTCTCTTTACACTGATTTATATTTAAGCATGTTCTTCTATTACTCTACAGAACACAGGGGCAAAATAAAGGACTTCAAAACCAATCATGTTCATGACCAGGGATTCTAGCATGACATATACTGCGGTTCAGTTTATCAGGGTACAGCTAAAGAAGATGATCCTCAAAAGCTGATATCCATGGTATACCACATTGATGGAGCTTCTGCAGTGAATTCCAAGTCAGTGAATCTGTGGCCAATTCAGTGCTTCATTGTCGAACTTCCTCCTAAACTAAGATATTGGTTTGCTAATATTTTAGTGCGTGATCTTTTGTGGTGCCCTAAAAAGTCAGACCTCAACATTTTTCAAGAGAGGTTTGTCAGTGAGTTGGAACAAACTCAAAATTTCCAAGTCCAGATCGAGGTAGATTCTGTCAACATTGTCATTGAAAGAATCAATCTGCATGGTCATCTTGCTGATCTTGTTTCCAAGGCTCTTTATCTATTTTTTTGCCAATTCAGTGGTAAAAATGAGTGTTCAGTTTGCTTACACCCAGCAGAAAGGGTTCAGCAAAGAACGAGGAGTATCCACATTTATCCATACCAAAAACCAGGAACCCCCTTGTTGAACACATGCGCAAACACTTTTGCATGCAAGGACAGCTGAGAGAACAAAAATGGTGGTATTTGGGGTGAAAGGTGTGTCGTCTCTTCCATGTGTTCTGAAAGTTCCAAGTCAAGTCGTATTAAATTATATGCATCTTGTTCTTATGGGTATGTTCCTACGAAGGTTGAACATTTGGATAAATAATCAAAGTGACTAGGGATTCTTATCTCAATCCTATGAAGCAATTGACCATGCAACGATGAATGTCAAATTTCCACATGATCTCAACCGAAAGCTGAGACCACTTAGCAAAGTGAAATGATAGAAAGATAAGGAACTCCAAGCAAGCCTGCCTATTCTGAAACCATTCTTCCCTGATGATTACTTTTGCCATTTTGCTCTACTGATAACTGCAATTCGTTTGCCCACAAATGACATAAATATGGCAAAATTTACTGATTAAAAACGAAACACAAGAACCTAAGGAAGGTAAAGCCTTCATTGATGACAATACAATGGAAAAGAAAGACCTTACGCAAAGCTGGAGAAAACTATTTTTTTGTTGCAAGTGCAATAGTATATGACCTAAGTTATGAGCTAATTTTTGCTAAGATTTGCTTCCCATAAATGTCATTGGAAAGTCTCTTAGTGATTTCAGGTTTCGAAATTGGAGCATTTGCTTTAATCATATCCTCACATAGACGTAGTAATGTTTGAACTTGCTCTGTGCTGAACAAGGCTTTTGTGGTACTGCTTAGTGACGTTGGAGGCACAATGTCACTGGATGAAGGTATGTCCTCTGAATAAGCGATTAAATCAATCACGTAGGTCCTCCTTCTCAGTTGGTAAAGTTGCAGGAGTAGCGACAGGATTCCTCCACTCTATCATAAACTCTTCTTGTATCTATGCCTTGTACGATTTTACTTTCCATGATCCTCTTTCTCACATATTCCACAGTGACTTAATTTTTCTGTATTTCTTCTCTAGAGAGCTTGCAAATTTCTTGAACTAAGGCCCTGGACCAGCGCAAAGGAGGTGAAGAACTGTTTTCACTTTCTTGGAAGTCTTTGTCGACCTGTTCTTTACCAATTTGCCCCAAGGGTTCTTCAGCTTCCCTGGGATGTTCCTTAGATGCCTCACTACAAACTGTTGAGCACTTTTTCCTCATCATTGTGTAGAGTGTCTGCGATGCTTTAACCAATGCCTGTGCCTTTTATGATAAACGGTAGTACTTGACAGCAATATCTTCTTTATGGACCATGAAGTCAGCAAGATTACTGACTTCGTTTTTGTGATTCCTGTGCACAGCAGTTACGGCACCTTTCCTAAGAGGAGTGCTGTGAATAGGCCCATCAATCCCTGCTTTTTTCCATACTGATTTTATGGCTTTGTAGATTTTACTAGACTGCATCTTTGTTCCATTGAAAGATGGAAACACAGGGCTGGTTTTCATCCACTCTGATGCCTGGCACCTGGCTTCTTACCTCTTGAATGAAGACATTCATCCAATTGTGTAAATTGCTTGTGAGAACTACTTGAACATGACCATGAATGTGAAATGTTTTTATGTTCCCTGACATTGACAACAGACCTGTCATCTTTTGAGATCCTTTCGAACTCTTCACCGTTATGTTTGCTAAGACACCTGCACGGTTGGCATTATCAGTTGGTATTTGAACTAGGAGGAAATCATGCAAAAGGGTATATTGGTTTTGTGTAATTAGTACATTGTGTGTACCACTTAGCTTTCCAAGCAGGATGACAGCATCCCTTGATGCCTTGCTGGTTTCGAATTTTACAAATTTATCTGGGATGATCAGCTGATGCCTTTCCTCCTCCTGCCTTTCCCATTTCCTTTGTTGGTTTGATCGTTGTAAGAAGATGACCATCGTCTCATTCTTTCCTTCACCTGAGTCACCAACTCACTTCTGACTGGAATTTCATATGGCTTCTCAGACAAAAGGAAGCTGTAGAAATGTCCTAGGCTGGTAAAGTAAGACTTAATGGTTTCGGGCAAATACTTCTTTTCAGCTTAACTTACAAATTTCTCCTTGATGTGAACAAAATCCAACAGATTTTCTAAACTTTTCTCAGTGTCAATTATAATGTCCACAGCAGAAAACGGGCTAGAACTATTCCACAAAACAGCTTTCTTTAAATCTCTTAAAGAAAAACAACTGCCCGGATCACTGAACAAAATAACTGCTGACCTATCATGAACATTACAATTCTCCCCAGGCAGATACAAACTAGATGATTATGAAAGAAAAATTAAATAACAAAAATTGACCCGAATGAGGTGACAACAAAAGCAACAGCAAATAGCCAAAATTTTCAGTGCTATGATGATGCCTTAAGAAATCTAGTTTACAAACTTCAACTTATTGTAATAGCAAGGTTCTTAGTCCATAACATAGTCCTTGGTCCACTTCGTTTTCCTGATTTGTCTTCCACTTCGAGAGAAGAGGGCAGGTAATGATGAGGATAGTTGTTCCACTGTAGTAGGCAGGTGGTTGTCTTTCACTAGGTGATTTCACTTGGTGTAGCTGGGTTAAACTCCTCTTGATTAGCTGGCATTTGTGTGTGCTCAATGGTTTCTGGTCCTTCAAACTCAAGTGGGGCTTGTAGTTCCACCGGAGGTACTGGACTGTATTCATGGATGACTTGCTGGATGGAAAAATCCAGTCTTGAAGAACATACGCAGTTCTTGCGAATGCCAATTTGCACTTTTTTCAGGAAAATAACAGTAT